GTGTGTGTGTGTGTGTGTGTGTGTGTGTGTGTGTGTGTGTGAGACAGCTGTTAATTGTGTCTTTATTTCTCTATTAAAAATCTACTAGTCTACTACTAATATAATCATCTATTTATTTGAATCACCGAGTGGAATTAACATTTACAAATGAGCTCTCTTTAGTATCTCAGTTGTTTCTCCTGTAGCACAATGTCTCAAACTGTGCTCAGTTTTGTCGAGAAGTCTACAGTTAAATCTCATTCAGTTTGAACTCAAATATTAAAGACTAAATTGTCTGAATTATCTATATTAGTTTTATAGCTCTTTACTCTTTAAATAGAAATTAAATATATTAACATAATGTTTTATGGTAACATATTGCAATAAGGTTTCATTTGCTCTAGGGATACACAATATTGGATTTCTACCAATATCCGATATGCCGATATTTTACTAAACATGTTGGCCAATAGCCGATGCCGATATATTTCCTTTTGTTTTGAAACAACACCAAGTCTCTCCTGTGTAGAAATTATAAACAAATTAGTTTTAATTTTGGTTAGTTTTGAGCGAAAACTTATTTGTTAGAACTAGTAAACATTATTAAAGTTTTTTTTTTACATTAAAATCTTTGAAAATAACGAATAAAATCAATATCTGCTGGTTTTTTTACAGACAAATGCAGTTGAAACCTTAACATTTTATTTGTGGATTTAACATTAATTGATGGTCTAAAGCAAAAGAACTGTAAAAACATACAATAAAAATACATAGGACCTTATTATAAAGTGTTACCATTTTTATTTTTGGAGAAACATCTCAGACAAAGCAATTTTCTGAGCAACACATTAGTTCAGCCATATGAAGTGATTCGGTCTCATTCTTTCCATGTAGAAGCTGAGAGAAACAGTGTGCAGAGTTTTGAGGATCCCCTCTCGTCCAGGCGACGTGTGAGGTCTGAGCCGAGAGACCCGTTATCACAGAGTCCTCTTCCTGAGGGCCAGACCCTCACAGACCCTCTCCCTCTGATGGCGGAGCAGATCTCTGTGGGCTCCCAGGACACAGGGGACAGTCTGGAGGCTCTACCCAGGGACGAGGGCAGTCGCCTGAGCAGTGTGGGGTGGCAAAACCCACAAAGGAGTCTGGCAGTCGACAATCATGGATATGACAACAATGAGGCTACGGATAGTATCTCCACATGGAGCTCTGAGGTGTGTGTGCTTGAGTTCAACAGAGCCAGATCTTTTCTTATCACTTCTATATAGACTACCTTTTAAAAGTTTGTGGTCAGTAAGATTTTTTTTAAATAATAATACTTTTATTCAGCAAGGATGATCAAAAGTGACATCTATGATGTTACAACAGATTTCTATTCCAAATAAATGCTGTTTGAACTTTTGAACTATTCATCAAATAATTCTGAAACATATGTCATATTTTCCACAAAAATATGAAACTGTTTTCAAAATTGATAACACTAATGTTTTTCAGCAACAAATCAGCATATTATAATGATTTCTAAAGGATCATGTGACTGGAGTAATGGCTGCTGCATTTTAAAATATATTAAAACAGAAAAAAAAAATGTTTTAAATTGTAATAATATTTAACAGTATTAAGGTTTTTACTGTATTTTTGATCATGCAAATGCCGTCTTGGTAAATACAAAAGGCTTGTATTCAAAACGTAAAACAAAAATGTGTATGAATTTAATAAGATAATAGCTAGATAGCTAGCTAGCTAGATAGATAGATAGATAGATAGATAGATAGATAGATAGATAGATAGAAAGAAAAAAAAAATGTTTTAAATTGTAATAATATTTAACAGTATTAAGGTTTTTACTGTATTTTTGATCATGCAAATGCCGTCTTGGTAAATACAAAAGGCTTGTATTCAAAACGTAAAACAAAAATGTGTATGAATTTAATAAGATAATAGCTAGATAGCTAGCTAGCTAGATAGATAGATAGATAGATAGATAGATAGATAGAATATTGATTAAGTTTTGTATTTATTTTCTATTTTAATTTATTTAAATTTTATTAATTTTTACTGTTCTGTATTATTACTGTTATACGTTACACCATGTTTTAACTTTTCTGTTCATAAATTATCTAAATCTCTCTCCACCTCTCCACAAGTGTTATGAGAACTAAATTCTAATGAATATTCATGAGTCGTCTGTGCTCTATGGCACTCATAGCTGTTGCTAATGCAAACACCTTGTGTTTAAGTATTAGTTTTTCACAGTAAAATCTTCCTCATCCATTTGGAGAGGTGTGTGAGGTTGTGTGTGAAAGTGTGTTAGATCTGTATGTATACATATGCATTGAGCAAGTTTGTGTTTACATATGCAAATGAGCTTTTCCTCTCTCTAACAGCGTGAACAATCTCCATCCCACCCTTTGAGTGCTTCCCCTCGTGGACATATCTCAAAATGTGGTGATCTCATAATTGCCCTCGACTACCGGGCTGAAACCCACAGGTTGCTGGTCACAGTGATAATGGCCCAAGGTATTCCAGACAAGGCACGGAGTGGCATGGACTCCCGGCAGGTGCATGTGGTGCTGTTACCCGGTAAACGACAGCGGCACAAGACGGCCGTTCAGAAAGGCTCCATGCCTAGGTTTGAGGAGACATTCCGGTTCTCACATCTAGAGCCGGGGGATCTGGGTTCCTCTGCGCTGCGGTTCCGCCTGTATGCGATGGGCAAGATGAACAGGGAGAGGATGATGGGAGAAGCCATGTACAAGCTGAGCAGACTGAAACACTCAGGACACTTCCAGATCACACTGGTCCTGGAGCCACGTAGTAATCTCAAGGTGTGTGTGTGTGTACTTGCTTTGATAGTATTCATAGTTTTTTTTTGTTTTATTTTGTGTAACAGTAAGGATTTTTCAACTGTCACAGTTGGGCCAGTAGTTCAATTTTTTTGGCCCCACTACAAAAAAAATTCTTTAAAAAATGTATAAAAAGATTTTATTTTTAACAATGTATTCGTATATGTGGCAGACATAATATTTGTATTTATTTTGAATTATAATCTATATATATTACATTTATACATATATTTGTTACAATGTTTGATTCATAATTGGATCCTCTAAATCTCTTATATTTCAAAGTCTATCTATCTATCTATCTATCTATCTATCTATCTGTCTGTCTGTCTGTATCTGTCTGTCTATCTGTCTAACTCTATCTTGCTATCTTACTATCTTACTATCTGTCTATTAATATACAGTACATAAAGTCATATCCAACTAGATTACATTACCTTCGTGCATAATTAATAACAAAATGATATAAAGCACAGAAAGCTAAATATTTAGGTTTGCAAAGCAGAAAAACACATTTTTCAGTTGAGATAATGAAACACCTCAGAACTCTCTTATGCTGAAAATTATTTTTCAAAGTTGTAAATGAAGATTAATGGAATATGTTCTTCCAAAAAAAAAGTCTATTTCAGTTTTTCAATGTAAAAATGTAGCATTTAATTCAGTGTGTTACTTGCTGTTTTTCGAATGATTGTTTTACTATTCCTAATTATTATTATTTGTAATTATAATTATTATTTAATTTTTCTAATTATTTGAGAAATTTACTAGCAGTTTTGGCATGAAAATTGTTTCAAAGTAAATCCCACGCAAAAAAATGTTTTTAGTTTACACTGTCCTTATGATTAAAGGCTGAAGTGGACAGATACATTTTGATACTTTTGGATAGACATTTTTATGTGCAAACAGCTTCGGAAATGCTTTTTTATGAATATTTAACTTTACAAACTCAACAAATCTTTACAAATCTTTCTAAAGACTCGTCAGAATATAAAATGTTGGAACTTTTCTGAGGGTACCACCATATTTTTACACAAAGATTATTTTGTACATCTGTAAAGTTGTACATATGTGATCCTGGACCACAAAACAAAAAAAATTGAGATTTGTACGTAATCTGAAAGCTGAATAAATAAGCTTTCCATTGATGTATGGTTTGTGGACAATATTTGTCCGAGATACAACTATTTGAAAATCTGGAATCTGAGGGTGCAAAAATCTAAATATTGAGAAAATCACCTTTAAAGTTGTCCAAATGAAGTTCTTAGCAATGCATATTACTAAACAATAATTAAGTTTTGATATATTTACGTTAGGAAATTTACAAAATATCTTCATGGAACATGATCTTTACTTAATATCCTAATAATTTTTGGCATAAAAGAAAAATTGATAATTTTGACCCATACAATGTATTGTTGGCTGTTACTACAAATATACCCGTGCTACTTAAAGGGGTCATATGATGCGATTTCAATTTTTCCTTTCTCTTTGGAGTGTTACAAGCTCTTGGTGCATAAAGAAGATCTGTAAAGTTGCAAAGACTAAAGTCTCAAATCCAAAGAGATATTCTTTATAAAAGTTAAGAGTCAACCACGGCTACCTAAAACAGCTCGTTCTAACACGCCCCCACGTCTACGTCACGATGTGGGAAGATTTGCATAACGCCACCCAAATGTTCACGCAAAGAAAGAAGGCGTAACTTTTATTCTCGCTGTAGTATTGTTGTTGCTGCCTCCGCCATGTCGTGAAGGTACTGTGTTTCGTTGTGAAAGTGAAACTACTTTGTTTGGTCTTCCAAAAGAGGACGATATCTGCTTCGTCATGCCTAGAGCTGATCTGTGCTGGTCGCTGAGGGAATACATCAACTTTCACCGTGGACGAAGCGGAGTCCAGCCCGGGGTCCGTCACATGTGGTTGCGCAGGCATCACAATATGGTAAGGGATGTAACATTTCCGTCACACGCTTGAGGTATTC